CACTCCAGTCTGGGCGACAGAGTGAGACTCCAACTCAAAAAAAAAAAAAAAAAGATTACTAGAATAGTCAGATTCATAAAGATAAAATAGAATGGTGGTTTTCAGGGGCTAGAAAAGTGGGGAATGAGAGTTAGTGTTTAATGGGGACAGATTTACTTTGGGAAGATGAAAAAGTTCTGGAGATGGATGGTGGTGATGGCTGCACAACAGTGTGAATGTACTTAATTCTAATGAACTGTACACTTAAAACTGGTTAAAGGCCGGGCACAGTGGCTGGCACCTATAATCCTAGCACTTTGGGGGGCTGAGGTGAGAGGATTGCCTGAGCCTAGAAGGTGGAGGCTGCAGTGGCTGTGAGCGTGCCACTGCACTCCAGCCTGGGTGATGGAGACTCCAACTCAAAAAACAACAAACCTGGTTAAAATGGCAACTTTTGTTATATTTTATTACAACAGAACAGTTAAAATAGGCCAAAACAACCCTCCCTGGCCACCTGCCTCCCAGCTTCCTTCAACATACAACTTGCAGAGTGCTGACACTATCTCTGAAGTACCTCTCACCCACACCACATATTCCTGTCAAGGTCACCGAGAACTCAATGGCCAATCCCAATAATGTTCTTCCTTGTCTTACTCAGTCTGCCCTGGATCCTGAAGTTCAGGTCTGCTGGAGTTGCCTCCCACCACTTCTTCGGCTCCCCTGCTGGTCTCTAGTCCCACCTCCCAGTGTAGTGCCCCTTGACCAGTACCCAACCTCCTGGTAGAATTCCTGGCATGTGGCCGGGCGCAGTTGCTCACACCTATAATCCCAGTACTTTGGGAGACAGAGGCAAGAGGACTGCCTGAGCCCACGGGTTTGAGACCAGCCTGGGCAACATGGTGAGACCCTCCTCTCTACAATAAATAAAAAATTAGCCGGGCTCAGTGGTTCAGCCTGTAATCCCGCGCCTTTGGGAGGCTGAGGTGAGTGGATTACCTGAGCCCGCGGGTTCAAGACCCGTCTGGGCAGCAAGACCTCATCTCTACAATAAATCAAAAAATCAGCCGGGCATGGTAGTGCATACCTGTAATTCCGGCTACTTGGAAGGCTGAGGCGGAAGGATCGCCGGAGCCCAGCAGGTCGAGGCTGCGGTGGCTGGGAGTGGCCACTGCACTCCAGTCTGGGCGACAGAGTGAGACTCCAACTCAAAAAATAAATAAATAAATAAATAAATAAATAAATAAATAAATAAATAAATAATTTAGCTGGGTGTGTTGGAGCACACCTGTAGTTCTAGCTACTTGGAGGGCTGAAGCAGAAGGATCAACTGAGCCCGTTGAGGCTGTGGTGGCCATGAGCATGACACTGCACTCCAGCCTGGGCAACAGACTGAGACTCTGACTCAAAAAAAAAAGAAAGAAAAAGAAAAAAGAAGAAAGAAAAATAAAAGAGTTCTTGGTACCTGTGACAGCAAGCTTGTGCTCTGGAGACTCTAAGCCTGCGTTCCACACAACCTCCCTCTGAGCCCCAGCATCTGACATGCAGCATCTGATGGCTCCCCTTGACTGTACAGCCCACTTGACTATCTAAGAGGCAACCCAACTCAGCTTGTGCACATGGAGCCCACTTACCTCCTCCATACTCTGCGACCAGCCCACATAGAAAGGCACCTGACTTGGATCTCACAGAGATACTATACACCTCAATTAATTGGCTCTAGATGTCACAAATATCAAGAAGCCCCATTCTTCTCCCAGTCCCTTATCCTGACGCCAGTTGCTAAAACATGAAATAATGTGTCTCTTGGAATCCAGAGGTGTGTGATTTGTTGCTGTTCCCTGGAGGACAGCGCACTGCCAGCAGCCTCTGACAGTGGCAGGTGCACAACAGATACTGTGAATGACTGGCATTGGCACACCTGCTGCCCCTCCACCAGGCTTCCGGCAAGGCCCGCACCTTGATCTGGTCAAAGGGCTCAGGAGCTTTGCTGAGGTGCTTCTCAGCCCCCTCAGAGGCAGACATGACAAACTTCCACCCAGTGAGTTATCTGCTGAAGCTGCGCATAAAAGTCTGGAGCCCTAGGCTGGTGTGTGGTGTCCTCCAGAGTGAGGAGGTACAGGTGGAGCAGTTGATAGCACAAGGTGAGCAGCCTCTGCATCCAGCCATTGAGGACCGGTGTGGCAGCCTGGATGGGCAGGGCAGTCTTGCTGGGGCCTGGACCGCACTCAGCAGAGTTGCCAAGCTGCCTAGCAGCTCTCAGATTAGGGGTAGGGAGGTGAGTGAGTCTTCCCAGGTGGAGGAACTGTTCCCCAGGCATAGGAGGTGTGGAGGGTCACCTCCCCACATTGCTTGCCCAGGTACCACTCACCTGGGAGGCAGCTGCCCCTGAGTGAAAGAGGCTATGTAAAGTATGCAGTGGCAGGGACAAAACCAGGCCACCACATGGATTTGGGGAGTCAGCATGCTGCAGGGACTGTGTGCTCAGAGCTTGTACTATAGAAAGGAAGAAGGGTATATAGAACACGCAGGGCAGGCCCAAGAGGAGCCACCCACAGCATGAGGATCAAACAGCATCTTTATTGTGGGAGGAGGCCCCAAAATCCAAAGAAAGACACGCAGATGTCTGACACTGATGCCCACAGATGTCCAAGGTACATGCGGAGGATGAGGGAACCAGGAACCATCGCCTTAGGCTGCTGTCCCTTCCTCCCCTAACATGAGGACAGTGCTGCAGGCTCAGGCATGCAGGAAGCGGTTGAAGGCATTGTAGGCTGACTCCAGGTCAAAGAGCATCTGGCGTACCTGTGAGTCGTCTAGCTCATCAGACGCTGACATACCACTCAGGGTTTGCAGCCTGCGGGAGCACAGCACCACAGGGGCATTGAGGGGCTGGCAGGGCCTCAATGGCACTGCAGGTGGTTCTGTCTGGCCAGGAGGGGCACTCACCACTGGCTGACTGTCTGGCGGCCCTCAAAGTCAGGAGGCAGGTGGCTCATACGGTGCATGGTCTCCATCAGCTCTCGCAGGTCGGGCTGAATCTGCAAACACAGCCACATAGCAGCTGAGATCCCTCCTCACTGGTCATGCTCTGTCCCCTCCCACGTAGGGCCCCGCCTGATTCCTGTACCTCATCCATGGCACGAATCTCCAGGCGCAGCTTGTCCATGACTGTGATGAAGAGCTGGGGACAAGTATGTGGTGAGGAATTGCAGGCTACCAGGGATAGGAAGAGGTCTTGCAGTTCACAGGCCCAGCTCCCCACAGGGCTAGGCCTGGGGCTGGGTCCCCCAAATCCCTCCTCAGCCTCAGCTGTCTGGTCACTCAGGCCTCCTCTCTGCACTCTGCTCCTGAACCCAAGGGGCGTCCCCATACATTTATAGCCTTGTCCAGTCAGGAGAGTGGGAGGAGGCTGGCTCCTCAGGTCAGGAGTGGGCAGGTCCTGGCTGTCTCGAGTCATGTGAGAACTCGGGGTAAACCTCCCTTCCCCCCAAGTCAGGACCCTGCCATGTCCCCCTCATAGGAGTCTGTGTGCTGCCTGGTAGGCCTCCCTGGACACTACCCTCCTCTCTCATTCACAGCCAAAGGTGCGCCCCCCCACCAAAGAACTCAGAGTGCGTGCTGCTCAGCTCTGGAATCCCCAGGACTCTGTACAAATGTGACCAGCTTCAGCAGGCAGTCTCAATTCTCCTAACTCCTGCACATCCACCGTCCCACCACCCAGAAGGCTGAAGGCGCACCGACACGACATCAGCAATGCAGCGGTTGAGATTGCCCTTGTCATCCTTGATGGTGATGGGCCGATCCTCCTTGATCCTCTCCATAGCAAGTGGGCAGTCCAGCTGTAGGAGGGCTGATGTGGGTACTGGGCTTCTCAGGACAATAGGCCCCATGTATACCAGGGTCCCAACCCAACAGCACCCCATACCTGTGCCCCATGGCACTCACCCCACGGGACAGAGGGATTGGCTCACTCACGCGGAATTTGCGGCAGAATTCATCAATAGAGCTGATTTCTGAGCCTTGAACCTGCCGGAAAGCAGCTTTGTACTGGACTAGGAGCCGGGAGCAGGCTGCAGTATACCTAAGGAGAGAGCTAGCTGCTGCTCTGAGTGTGTGACCAGACCTGCCTGGTTCATCCTGTTCCCTTAGCCTGTACAGATGCAAAGCAGTTCTTATAGGGAGCCAGGTAACACATCAGAGGCCATTGAGCGTTGAGGATTTGCACAAGAAAAGAGCTCTGGACAAGAGCACAAAGAGGGGCCAAAATATGGCTGCTGTAGGGGACAAGGCCCAGACCATGCAGGTTGGCCTGGAGCTTGGCACTGCCACCCAAACCCTGCCTATCCTCTGGACAATAGCACCCAGCCCTCTGTTATGACCCCATTGACAGTTCATGGTCCTGTGAGGCCAGCCGGTGAGGGGCTCATCAGTTTGCTGAATAAAGCCCCTGCAAACATCCTGGGTACTAGGCCTGGTCAGCACCGCCTCACAGACTGGACATCTCTGAGTCTCCTGTTCATCTTCTGAGGCCCTTTCATCAGCAAAGCTGTTTGTGATGAAGGGAAAGGGGGAGAGAGCCAGGACCACATCCCAGCAGCCCACTTGCAAGCCCATCCTTCACCACCCCTCCAGGGCTTCCTTGGCTAGGACCCAGGGGCACATTAATAATGCCATGTGGGCCCCACAGAAGTGGGTACCTCACAGCCTGATAGAACCCCAACTTGGGCCCCAGACCCCTGTTTTTGTTGCCTATAGAGCACCCAGGTTCCAGAAAGCAGGAACAGGTCTCTGAGGATGGCAGGCTCTCTCTCACTCGTTGGGGGTGACGCAGTCCTTGATGTATGCTTTCTCCAGGGCCTGCATCGTCTTCACCACCGCAAATAGCTCTGCCATATTGTCATACCTGAGGACAAATTTGTCCATCAGAGTAGGCTCTGAAGCAGAGAGCTGAAGCCTCCAGAGCCCAGGGTACCAGGCCCTTTGCCCCAGAGGAGGTGCTGTGGCAGAGCTCTGCATTATCTACCCCTCTTCCCTCATCCTGGGCAGAAACTCCTTAGGAATTGGGAATTGTTCCCCAGTCTGACCTCATGTCCTCCCAGCCCTCAGTGTGGGAGTGGGTCTAGGGGGAGGCTGTTCTGGGGAAGGCGAATGGGCATGGGTGTGAGTTGGGGGTAGCTTGGGTGCTTGGACTTACTTCTCCCGCTCCCGGGCATTCTTGTACAACTTCACTTCCTGTCAGAGAGACCAGGCAATGTGTTGACCAGCATTGCCAGGGGGCTGCAGGGCCCTGGTGAGAGTCACACAGGCTTTGCAGTTGGCCACTGCTAGCCAGGTAGGCATCAGCCACTCACCTCATACAGCTCTGGCTTGTTCCCAGGGGCTGCAACAGAGTAGAAAAAGAACTGGCTGGCTGGCCAAAGGTAACCCCAGGGCAGGCTGGTCCCAGCCTCCATTTCAGTTCCCCACTGAGACCCCCTGCGATGGGTCCTAAAAAGCCCAGAGGGAGTTGAAGGACAGGGGTTCCAACCTCACCCCCACATATTTGTGGGGGAACTTGAGCAGTACACTGCCTCTGGGAGGAGCCTGGCTCCTCCATTCCACTGCTGCTCCTTGCCTGTCACCTGTACGACAGCTGACCACACCACACTTTGTTCACAGCACCATGATGTGGCAAAAATGTTTGTCATATACTTCATAACCTTTCCCCTGCCTGGGCTTAGTGACACAGAGATGCCCAGAAGCCCCCAAGTTCTGATCACACTGAAGCTTGTCATCTCTGTACCCAGCAGGACCAAACTGGTGCTGCCTGGAGGAGATCTCTGGGCCATCCGTGTTCCTGTGGTCGCCTTGGACAACATCCCAAGTCCATATGAGAGCAGGGTGTGGGTGGGATACTTAATACCAACCCCTCCTGCTGCCACAACACTGTTCTGCCATCCCCCTTCCAATCCCCAGGCCCACTCAGACCATACTCACCTCCCATGCCTGGAGTAGCTGGGATCCCGTGAAACATCCTGTGAGCTTTGGTGGCCACAATACTGAGACCTGGGGAGCAGAGCAAGGGCCAACTCAGGTGACCCCAAAGTGCTGGGCCTGGAAGTCCAGGCCCTCAAAAGCAGTGGACACACACTGCCCTCAAAAGCAATGGGGGAAGTAAGGTGCTGATGAATATTCAGGACAGCAGTGATGGTGTTGAGGCAGGGGCTGCCGTGGAGTGTGGTCAAAGTTGGATGCTTATGCAAGTGATGAGAAGGAAGAGGAAGCAGGTATTGGATGACCCTAGGAGTAGTGTTTTGGGCATGGAACAGCACACTTAACATAAAGCCTTTAAGAATGAATTTGAAGAGACAGACAAGTTGAAGGACAGGCTAGAGCTTCCTAAATGAAGGGTGTCCTGGGGAATGAGGACGGAGAGGTGGTGCTCACAGGGCCATGATGTGGCAAGAACTATTCCAGTGCAGTTAGAGCTACTGGAGGGTTGGAGATGAACTTGTTGAGGCTCCTAAGCTAGCAGTAGGCTGTGGAGAAATACTAGAAGCAGAGTTCTATGGGAAGGCTTACTAGAATTCTCCCTATTAAGGAAGCTGATACCGATGTTCTTTGGAAGTGGGACTACCAGATCCACTGAAGGATTTGAAATAGGACTAAAATAAAAAGGTGTTAATAATATCCCTGTTTTTGGCCCAGTGGCACCTGGCAGTAAGGTGAACTGAGATGGTCAAAGTGGGAGCAGGCCGGGCTTGGTGACTCAGCCCGTAATCCCAGCGCTTTGGGAGGCCAAGGTGAGTAGATTGCCTAAGCCCGTGGGTTCGAGAACTGCCCAGGCAACTTGGTGAGACCTTATCTCTACAATAAATCAAAAATTAGCTGGGCTTTGTAGTGCGCACCTATGGTTCCAGCTACTTGGAAGGCTGAGGCGGAAGGATCACTGGAGTCCAGCAGGTCAAGGCTGCAGTGGCCAGGAGTGGCCACTGTATTCCAGTCTGAGCAACAGAGTGAAACTCCAACTCAAAAAAAAAAGAAAAAAAAGAAAGTGGGAGCAGTGGGTCTGGCAAGCAGGCACAGGGTTCAGATGTGCATTAGGCCTCAAAGGCTCTGTAGACATCCCAGCTGCCTGAGAAGGAGCAGGAGCTCAGGAGAGATCCAGGTTGGCAGCGTCAAGCCAGTGTTAACACTGTGGGAGTGGATGGTACCACAAGGGGTGAAAAAGGGGCAAATGAAAATAGGAGAGGAAGCAGCCCAGGCTGGAGCCCTGGGATACCCTAACACGGTAGAGTTGGCAAAAGGTAGCGTCACTCATGTTAAAAAAGAAATGCTAGCCGGGCTTGGTGGCTCAGCCTGTAATCCCGTGCTTTGGGAGGCTGAGGTGAGTGGACTGCCTGAGCCCGTAGGTTCAAGACCCGCCTGGGCAATTTGGTGAGACCTCATCTCTACAATAAATCAAAAATTAGCTGGG